CTGGTCAAGAGGAATTCGCCGTCGTCTTCTGGTGGAACCGATCTTCGAATCTCTACCGGAAGGAAGACTGTTGGATTGTACGAACCCGTCCTCTGCTCACCGTCCTGCGAGCCTCACAAGAATAGAGGCTAAACTTTCATCCGCCCCTTCGCGACAGGCATCATCAAAAAAAGAATATATGTTATTTTTCGAATTAAGTGATTGTTTTCGTGACTACCAGTAAATCAGTAGTATGAGATGTATTCACCCAATTTCGTTTAAGGTGATGAAGGAATCGTAGAAGAAGAATTTTGTGATGAAGCAAATGTATTTTTGCTATAACAATCGAATACGTTATTTTATTTTTCGCATTTAAGTATTGTTTTAAGGACCAGTAAATCAGTAATATGAGATGTATTCACCCAATTTCGTTTAAGGTGATGAAGGACTGGTAGAAGAAAAATCAGTAGTATGAGATGTATTCACCCAATTTCGTTTAAGCTGATGAGGACTGGTAGAAGAAGAATTTTTTCACAATCATATGAGTTGAACAATCGACTACTATACTTTATTTTTTTGTCGAATTAAGTATTGTTTTCGTGACTACCAGTAAATCAGTAGTATGAGATGTATTTACTCAAATTCGTTTAAGCTGATGAAGGACTGGTTGTTCAACTTTTGCGAAAGCAAGGCTATATGAAATTGAATGGAAACGTCACCCCAACTCATATGATTGTGGGAAAACTCTTCTTCTACCAGTCCTTCATCACCTTAAACGAAATTGGGTGAATACATCTCATAGAGAATATATGCTTTACGAAATAACACAAAAAATATACGAAACCAAGAGCTCTCAGGACTGTGGACCGAGGAAAAGTTGGTACAATTTAACAGTCTTCATTCACTTAACAGCATTTATCCCTCGCTGTCCGGAGGAGACCATTTCACAAATTGCTTACAACCGAATGTCCACTCGAAACAGAAAGTGAAGCCATACCAAATCAAATCTCTTTTGGAAGATATAAAGGTCAAGTTGTTGTGGCCTCTGATATGGTCGAGAGTAGATAGATAGACCATGACAACGAATGACCAAATTCTACAAATCTCTTTTTTTTCACTTGTCTTTTTGGTCGTCCACTTCGGGCCTGTTATGCAACAGCCAGCAGCAAGACCGTTTCAAGGCCTATCTGACCTTTTTGCTGCCATGGCAGACTGAGCTTTTTACTCTTTTATGTGGGCGATTTCTCCTCGGGCTCAGTTGTCAAATCTGGTCAGTCCAGATGCCGTCTGTGAGGCAGAAAAGCGGCATGACGCCAGCCCGTACGACGTCAACTCAATCCTGCCACCTCGGGTCTTTCTCTCCGCAAGCCTCAAGTCTTCACGCCTCTTCTTGGCCTCAATTCGTTTGTCGCCATTCGGACCCGTCGTTGCGGAGACCACATGCCACGTCAGGCAAAAGCAGAAACAGGCCTGCATTCATGCTACGTCAATGCCACGTTCATCTACCATCGAACATATCGACTCATCGTTTTCTCAACTTCATACCTCTCCCTCCATCAGTCCTTCTCTTCATCTACCCACACGCCCAATGATTCATTTGTCCATCCACCAATTCCTCTATCTTTCCATCTATCCATCCATCCATCCATCCATCCATCCATCCAT